GAACGTGGTAAGAATGCTCTTGCTGTGTAAGCTGGTGGGCACAAGGAGTGGCTCCTCTCCATCATCGCAAGCGGGGATGTGCAGCAGCTAAAGCATTTCCTGGAGGTTGCTTTTTGAAACTCAGCTCGGGGTGCTTGCCAGGCTTGCGTTCACATGTGTCTGTGCTGGTCTCTGTGTCGGCCTCTGTGTGGCAGGCTTTCTACAAGCAATCTAAAGATGCGACTCAATCTGGCGAAACCTGCAACTACTGCAACGTGCGAGTGACCTCTGGCAAAAATTGGTTCAGAACATCCAGACAGGCACCCCTGTGTCGCTTCGGACAATGGAAGCCAGAACATGCTGTGAGCTATTGACTTCAACCCGATGCAGTGTCGGGCGTTGCAGGCCACGGATGAGCAGCCGGCCGTCCGCTGCATGATCTGTATGAAATGGTACTGCGAGCAGTGGCTCAGCACGAAGAGCAGCGAAGAGCAGAGGAATAGGGTCCTCTTCTGTTTCCTTTGTCACCAGGTTGACTGAAGTCGAACCCTTGCATCTCGAGCCTTCGGGCGAAGTTCTGCTGTGGTAGGCTCCCGCTGCCCACCCCTTCCGCCTATTCCAGCTAGATGTGTGAGTTTCGTTCGCAGTTCTGTATAAACAAAGACCCGCACTGCCATCTCACGCCTTACTTTGAGCAGCAGGGTCAGCTAGGATTGAAGTAGCCCTTTAGCCTGCCATTGGGCGAGGATCTCCACTGTGGCGTAGTGTGGTACTTAGCTTTCGAGAAGGGAAAGTCCATAGTCATTGGTCCTTGGCACCGTGGGACTAAGCATTGTGCGTTTTCCACGGCCTGTGTGTGCCGAACATAGGGGTAGAAAGTTTCGGGGAAATGTGGGGGTCGGAGCTTCAATTGCCACGGAGCAAATAGGTCGAACACAAGCTTTATGAGGCATTTTTGTTCAGCGGATCCACGACCCGACAAACAGTACTTCTTGACCGTACAGGATGGGCGAGAAAAGCGCTTTTGTTTGGCAACCCATTCGCGATCGGCAGCCGCATGCGAATGCAAGACATGCTGGATGCTCTCAGGCACTGCAAACGATTTGTGAATTTGGGATTCGCAACGCAGCTCGTGAAGCTGGAGTGCTGCGAACAATGCCATCAAGGCGTGGTCGCTCGGTTGCAGAGTTTAAGAGTTTAGCACAGGTCCAAAAGGGAAGTCTTGCCCAGATGCTGCTGAAATCAGCAGAGAAGAGGCATAACGGCTGCGGCTAAGGAAGTTCTGCGATGGCACCAGGACAGCCTTAACATGACCAGAGTGCAAGTCTGCTGCAAGATTGCAGGCATGGTCTCCCTGTATCCTGTTTGAGAAGTGAGGATGCGGTGCCCGGATGCCTGTCGGAGACAGAACGTGAGCTCACGAGCTTGCACGCAACGCCCCTCGTTGGATTAAAGTTGTGAACTGTCATGAAATGTCGTTGTTCAGGTCTTGCAGAAACCCTTTTGTTGCAAGACGACCGAATTCAACAATGAGATCGGCAACTGTCACGCCCAAGGTTGTTTGAGCAGCTGACGAAGTTGCCTGCCGCTCTAGCACAGTTGGATGGCACGTCGCGATTGCTGGAGGACTTGCAGACACTGGTTTTGCAGTGCGAGAGTAGGTCGCTCTGTTTGTTTGCTCTGTTTCTTTGCTGTTCGCTCGATGCTACCTGCTATCACTTCGGTTGAGGGCTTGCGACTGTCAACTTCTGTGATTTGGAGATTTCCAAGGAACGAAATGCCTGAGTCTTCCAATGAGTTCTCCGTGGAACAAATACAGGCCCGGCTTTGTTCGCCTTTGTGCAGCTGGAATTTGCGTCATTGCATCATTTGCAGCCAGAGTGCACCTTCGTATTTCGGCAGGAGTATGTGTCCACTATGCAGCGCAGCCGTTCCAAAGCAAAACTTTGCGTGTCATTTGAAAGGGTCAGTCTTCGAGGGTAAACTGATACATTGAAATACAAGTCGGGCGCTGATCATTTTGCAGTGCAGGCAAGATATTTGTGAACAAGTTACCAGTGCCAACGCAAGGCAGCACTGCTTGCCACAAGCTCTCACAAGCTCAGGGTTATCACAGAGCTGCGATCAATGTCATTATGCCTGGTGTCCAAGGCTTCGACGCAGAAGCCGCGGAAGAAGCGATTGCTCGCTCGCTTGCGCTCCTGCAGAAGCAATGCAGCGAGGCCGCTTGATGTGACGCTTGCATCACTGACGTCAGCAGTCTCTAGCGCAAGACTCCAAGCTTCCACAGGGGGGCTGTGCCGACTCCTTGGAGTGGAAGCTATATGTTGAGCATGGTTTTTTGCGGGTGGTAGCGCGGCCGACTGCCTAACACGCACATTCCCCGTCCATGGCATTGCCTCATGTGACTTCTCTAAGCAGTTCGGTTTTGCAGATGGCATCGGAAGCTCCCTGTTGCGGCTTCTTTCTGCGTTTTGGCTTTGCAGCTTCATTTTATTCTTTTCGGTTTTCCTCTGTGGTGATCTTTGGCGTTGGCTGATGAGTCCTGAATCTAGAGAATCCAGCGTTGTGATTCTGTTGGTTCTTAGGAAAAGCTCTCGCTGGCGGTTCGCTAGTGGTACCAGTAGTACTCAAGAATGAATGAATACGTGACTCTCAAGTGGTAAATGGGCTTCAATCATTGCGAAGCTGTGCCCGATCTCTTCATGGTGTGAGGGGAAATATCCTGACAAGCCAGAGGTGCTCCGACATTTTCCGCATGCCAGGGGCAACCCGAGATTTTTCCAGAGTGCCCAAAGGAACACAATCCGACGACCGTGAGACTTCGGGGCTCCAGGAGGCTTTCGTTCAACTTTTCCAGAACGCCTGGGTTGAGGTTCCAGAGAGAATTATCAGGGCTGCCCCCCGCATCTGTGGAGACACCCCCGGGTTTAACGGGGGAGGGCACAAGCTTTTTCTTCTTGAGCGCAGCTGGGACACAGTTCTTGTCTCTGCGAAACGTGTTGTCAGCCAAGCTTCTACCCCATGCCCCAGGCAAGTGGCAACCCCAAGAATGGTCAAGTCCGTGATGGCCTGCTGAGGCATGACAGAGATTAACGGAGGAAATGCTCCTAGACACAACCGAAAATTGCAGAGCTCACTTCCCTGCAAAGGCATGGTCGGCAGCAGCTGGAACAGCTGAAGCCGCGCCTCAAAGCAGCCTGTACACGGGCGAGACTCGGACAGAAGATGACAGGATCCTGTGCTTTGCTGCAGAACTTCGGGATATCAATGTGAACGTTGACAGAGGTCCTTGACTTCTGCGAAAGCTGAGACAATGTTGTCAAGATGCCGGGTTTAGGCGTTCGGCTTGCAAACGGCATTCGGAATTGAGTGCAGACTTTTACTGAAATTTACGCGCGGTCAAATGACTGTCTAGACGGTGACCATCGAGTCCTCTAAGATGACCAGAGTCGCGGACAAGTTTCACTTCCATGCCCAGCACCGCAGGCGTATCTCTTGCGGCCTGCGAAGCATTTCCGTCTCTCATGAGAGGCGCCATGAGACGTGCCCTGAAGTTGTACAGACATGAGTTGCGGAAACACGATTAGCCCCTCTACCAGCACAGTCAGAACGGGAGAAGGGAAGAAGTGCTTGCGCAAGTTGCTTGCAAGTTGTAATTGGCAGAGCAGGGAGGGCAAGACCCAAACACTTTGATTCTTGATTACTTGAGTCCACGCGATTTGTCCCATAGTCTTGTAACTTGTGACGCCTGTCCCTGCGTCGTGAAAGACATGCTTGCTATCGCTAACAGTTGTTGATCCTCAGCCCAGTCCAGGCTCAGCACGCAGCAAGTATGTTGCTCAATCTGAGTCAAACGCCGGCACGCGCAAGACATATATTGGCCATGACATCATATCCTGCGCCATGCCACTTCACCTGTTTAATAAAGGCGCGGTCGAAGCAGATGTGCTGGAACACTCAGAGCAGAGACTCGTGTAACACATTACGTCGTTCAGAAGTCAGATCTTCGAAGGTGCGGGGGGTACACAAAAACACCTTTCATTTTCATGGCATTTGTCATACTTTGCATAGTCATGGCATTTTGCATACCTCTCAGCTTTCGTTCTTACCACACTTCAAGGCCCAGGAAATTCCAAATACTTTCCAAGGTCCGGGTCCGGAGTGTCAGGGACGGGTCCCCGAAAAAGGTGGGCCGGTGGGGGGGGGACCAAATCTTGGTGGTCATGGCGAATTTTGGTCCTCAGGGCCAGGAACGAAATGGCTCGGACATTCTCGGACATGTTGAACAAACAATGGAAACCGTGAATCGAGAGAAACCTTCAAACCGTCGTTTGGAGCTTCTGTCATCTTCTGTCGCCAACCTCCCAAATCCCGGCTTCCCCTCGCCCGGTCACCATTGCAACTTCATGCCGGTCGACCAAGCTCGGTGCTCCAAGCCAACCCTCCGAGCGGCGGACAAACAAGGGTTTAGGGCTTAGGGCACCCTGGAGGCACCGGTGCAGGGAGACATGGGGGCTCAGAACAAAGCGCCCGACGATTCCCAAAGGGAGGCCCCCATCTTCATGGGCCTTGTGCTTTCCAGGCGCAAGAAACGGCAGATTCAAGTCAAAGGCCTCAACAAGTAGGACCTGCAGAATCGACAACTGCCCCAAAAAAACAACTATGAGACCACCGACCCGGTTCACATGACATGAAGAGGTATGTGAACCAAGTATGTCCAGATGTTCTTAGAAGTGCGGAGCAGTGGCATGCCAGCGTGCAATTGGTGGCAGCACGGAAGTGGCATCTCCGGGCACGCAGGCCTTGCGGCAGACGTGGTCCTGCACTTGGTTGCTTGAAGACATGAGGTGTCTGCTGTTGCTTGCATGTGAGTTTACTTGGCGGCAACCTTCGTAGCGATGTCGTAGGTGGCTTCGGAGGCCGCAGCACGCAGCCACTCGGCTCAGATGGGCATGTTCAGGATCCCTTCATCCGACCCAATGCCGTGGACTCCTGGTTGACGGCGGCCCCTCGAAGCTATGGCCACAGACCGAAGGTATGAGGTGCGCGCACATCGCGTCGCAGTGTTATTGGTGTAGCTGCTGCAATGTTGGAGACGTGTGACAGGTCAAAATGTCAGTGCCAGATGGCGATGCTTGTTCTCAAAGTTGGATGAACACGTGAATTTGATCTTGATTTCTTTTTCGGCTGAGCAGTGGCGCATCAGCAGTCAAGGCAATGCCCGGCATGCTGCTGGATGTGTCGCTGACCTACAGCTCGGAATTGTGTGGATGCAGACGGCTGAAAGATGTCCGAGATGTGGAGTGGCCTGAGAGCGACGAGGCCTGTCAGAGGTGGCTCTGAGAAGGTTCGGATCCGGGTGCCAGATGGCTGCGGAGCTGGTAGCGTTCTTGCCATAGGCTCAGTCGCATAGCGCCCGTGCTCTGATGGGTCCAGGGCAGGAAGGGGGGCTCGTGGTTTTGGTTGAGCGCCCAGGTCCTGAGCCAGGCTGAAGGTAGCAGCGAGTGGGACCTGAACATTGAAGCCCCGGCCTTGGTCACAGCACCGGTGAATGTCTGCATGCTTGCAAAACCTTGCACATGTGACGTGCCTTCCACAGCTAGAGCTGAGGCAACATCCTCAGCACAGGACGGCTTTGCTGGTAGGCACTGCGGCAGGTGCCCAGACTCAGCCCAGACCTGCGAGGATATGGGCCCCGGTGACGACGGGGTGAGGACCACCCTTCAAATCATGGCAGCGGTGGGAGCCACAACTGTGTCAGACAGCATGGAAGGAGCCCTCCAGGCAACCAGCTGCCCCAAGAGGACATCCAAACCGTTGCCTAAGTGAAGAAGTTGTCATCGGAAGTGCCATGCAGGAAAGCCCCAGGCCGGTGATGTCTGAGCAGCCTGTGGCATACACCGTGAGGCCCGCTTTGGCCGTTTGCAAGTCGAGCCTCGATGCAGAAGCCTGTGCTGCCGGAGAGTTCATGGGTGTTCAGGTTGGATACAACCGTTGGTGTCATCGACATCATTGTGAGGCCTGCGACAGCCTCGGCAATCTATTCTTGGCAGTCCTTGTGGCCATTATGGGCTGTCGAACTCTTCCAAGGATTGGGCTCCGCATGGTACTCGCCGCTGCTCGATGGCATAGTTACACATCGTTGGAGCACAGTTTGAGCGCGGGCTTGCATGGGCTTGCATATGGGCTTGCGTGGCCATGTTGGCATTCGAATCGGTGTCTGAGGGTTCTTGGAGCTGGCCACGTCAGGGGATCTCAGCAATCTAGCCTTCTACCGTGCCATCAAGGCTCAGAAGTGGAAGTCTGGGGGTTGCAGATGTCTGATGGCCGAGCTTCTGAACGCAAGGGCTGGCCACATGCCTATGCCACGGCCAGGGTTGCATCTCCCAGTTTGGCCTGCCGCCAAAGCGGCCCTGGCCGCCTATACCAGATGACCCTCCGACAGGTGATTGGTGCTGACTTGAGAGAGGCGTGTCCTTCCAGCATGCAGTTCTCTGCCCTTGTGCAGGAGTTCCTTTCCTGTTGGGCGCCGTGAGCTTTGCTGCAATAGGCACGGGCTGAAGAGTCTTGGACCATTGGACTCTGGACATCCCGTTTGCTAAACGCCCTTCAGAAATTATCGGGAGCGCCGTTTCTGTCAGGCCCAAATGCTCGGAAATCGACGCTTTTCATCTGCACGGGCGACATGTCGCACTGCCTGGGCGACAAGTCATGGGACCGTGCTGCTTTAGTCAGCGAGCACTCGAGAATCGTGGCCTTTGTGCGATGAAGTCTTCTGAAGACCGTCGAACAGCCAACAGCTCAAAGAGCAATGCCAGGAGACCCCCATTGGGGCTGTGGCCGAGGCTTCATTGGACACATGAGGGCTGTGGTGCTTCAGCTATTTGAAGCTTGTCCCACTGTTGCGTGCATGCGCTTGCGCATGGGTGGGTGGGTGGGTGCGTGGGTGTGTGGGTGCGTGGGTGGGTGGGTGGGTGGGTGGGTGGGCGTGTGGGCGTGTGCGCGTGTGCGCGTGTGGGCGTGTGGGCGTGTGGGTGTGTGGGTGTGTGGGTGTGTGGGTGGGCGTGTGGGTGTGTGGGTGTGTGGGCGTGTGGGCGTGTGGGTGTGTGCACGTGCTTGCGAAGGCGTCGTTGGACGTGTTGGACTACATTGAAACCATCTACGGCCACAAGACGGCACTTTCTTTCCAATGTGGCCATGTCCGAAGTGCATGCAGCTGAGGTGACATTGTGGAGTTTGGCGGGCAGGGGCCCGCATCGGGCTCATTTTCGTGGGTGTAGGTAGCGTGCAGATGCCTGAACATGTAGAAGTAGCACACAACCAACACACACACACACTCTCTCAGGATACCAGCCGGATAAATTCTGAAGGGCATCTTTGCAGCACTTCATCTGCCTCTGGACACGTGTGAAGTCCCATATCTTGGTTCGACATTCTGAGGAACATCTACCTCCAAACGAACTTCCCAAAGCTGACGTACATCAAATCAGCCACCGTGCTTGACGATGGTGGTGGCCTTACCAGGTTTGTGGATGTTGAGTCTGGGCTCACACATCAGTTTACGAAAGTCGATGTAGAGATGTATATATGTATCATTATGTATCCATGATACCTTTCTCTATGCGGATGTACGAGGTGCCGATGTCCAGACCGGAAACGAGGCGAAAGCTGGTCATGCTTGCACTGTGGTGGAGGTTTTGTGATGGTGAGCTTCTCCCGTTTGACCGCACGGTGCGAGAGTTCACTCAGGACGACCCAAGCTCTGCAAGCCGAGCGGCGAAGGACCATGCCCACGCTGCACAGCAAGAAAGCCGTCCAGTTTTGAAGCTGGTGCACAGTATTGCACAATCATGATGTCAAGGAGGCAGAGGGCGTTGCAAGGGCGAATGCGAGCACCGCGCAGCAGGCCAGCATCCCAGAGAACTGCTCAAAGAAAGAAGGGGGTTGGAGAAAACGACGGAAGCTGACGCACGGAAAGAGCCGCGGAGGGTAGCGGAGGAGCTGAAGCGCGTTGTTGACAAGACATTTTCGTGTGTGGCGGCAAGGCCTCCCAACAGGCCCAACAGGCTGCCGCCAAAGACTCGATGGAGGAGCTACGAGAAGCAGCGAGGTGACACAAGGGTTTGGGAATCTCTTGGACAATATAACATATAACACATATTATATAATATATAATGCAAAGAAAGGAATATATAGTATATAATATCTCATATATAATATCTAATATATATTATACAATGTATAATATTACATGTATAATATAGAATATAAAATATATAATTGTATATAGTATATAGTATATAATATATATATAAAATAATACATAGTATATAATATATAATATGTAGTATGTAATATATAATATATAAATATATAACATAATATATAATATATATATATATATATATTATATATATTTATATATATATATATATATAATATATATACATATATTTATATGTATATATATATATATATATATATATATATAATACATAATATATAATTTACAACATATATATATAATATATATATATAATATATAATAATGTATAATATATAATATATTATATTATATATAATATACAATATAATAATATATATAATATAAATATATATATAATATATAATATATAATTAATATATAATATTATATATAATATATATATATAATATAAATATATATATATATAATATATAATATATAATATATATATATATATATAATATATAATATATATAATAGTATATAATATATATGTACAGTATATAACATACAACATATAGTATATTGTATATTATATATAATATATAGTATATAATAATAATAATCATAATAATAATAGTAATAATAATAAATAAATAAAAATATATATATATATATATATATATATTATTTTGTTATTATTATTAGTATTATTATTACTATTCGTATTGTTATATAATATATATATATATATATGTATGTATATTATATAACATACAAAATAAATAGCTTTTGAAGGTGAGATCCGGTGAGCTTTGTGCCTCGGCAAGGCGCGCCCGCCAAGCTGCCCATGCTGCTGTGGCGGCTGCCGAGGCCGGATGCGCATGCGCTTCCTTCAAAACATGGAAGCACCTCAGACTACAATGACTACAACTAAGTGTCTCAACACACGAAGAAGCTATTTTGAGTGTTCGTTGGGGCAGAGCATGGATCGTCTAACAATCGGACCGCCCCATTGCACATTTTGCTGGGATCCCGCAGGCAGCAGAAGCTGCGCAGGCTGCAGTGGAGGGCAGGCGTGCGCCTGCCGCAAACCACTTCAATGCGACGCCACAGATGTGGCTTGACTTGGTCTTGATGTTGCTGTGCCATGCACACCAGTTTCTTGATTTTGTTCACACGCCGTGCTGCATGCCCGTGTGCATCACAGGCACATGGCCGTGCCAGCTATGGCGCCAGCTATGGCCATGCCTCAACAACAGATGGTCTCTCGTCCAACACCTTCTCGTCCAATCAGAAAATCGCAGCCTGATCAGAACAGCGGCCCTCCCCCTCGGCCTCATGTGCAGTGCTTGTCAAGGTACCGGCCATGGTGCCGTCGCCCTGTCCAGGCAACTTGTGGGCTCCTGTGTGTAAGCCTTCTTTGGGAGGTTCATACAGTATGTGTACTCTTAGCCACAGGGCTGTTCAGGAAGTATGACCCCAGACTCCACCAACACTGTCACTGTCATTCTTGCGTGGCTTTACAAGGGATTTCATCAACATCCAAGTATCGAAGGCTCAGATACGGCTGGCACCCCTGGAGGTGTCCTGAGAAAGTCTGAGAAAGGGGCGCAGCTGGATGCAAACGCCAGTGAATCGAATAGTACTGTAATAGCCTCGCCCGGGTATCCATGCACACATCCTGCGAGCAGGTCAACAGCGGATGTTGAGCGGCATGGGCCAGCCCATGGCCAATGTGGCCAATCCAACGGTGCAGGCGCAGACCAGTGGATGTTGACGAAATCCACAGCGCAGCGGATTGAAGATGGGGCTTCATGTGTTGTGTTGCTCGGGAGTGCTCCGCGCAAGGCCCTCCAGCTTGCCCAGCCGGCGATGCAACAGCCACTCAGTTGAACAGTCAGACTGAAAGCTGTCCTCGGCTTCCACTTTATCTTGCCAGCTTGGCTGCCGGTGTTTCATGAGTTCGTAAAATTAGTAATTGTAAACGCTTGCGGGCGCCGCCTCGGCAGCCGGGCCGGCCTCAGGACAGGAAAGGAGGAAAGAGGGTTTCGCAAAAAAAGGGGAGGAAGGGCAGCGGGGTTAAAGGGGGGGGGGGGGGGGGGGGGGGGGGTGGGGGGGGGGGGGGGGGGTGGGGGGGGGGTGGGGGGGGGGGGGGGGGGGGGACTCCGCTGTAACCCAGTAAGGGGACCCGCTGATTTGTCGCAGGACGCCCATGAGGCCGCTGCTGCCAGCCCACGGCCAGGCTGGTGGCTCTTTTCTCCTTTCCGGGTTTCGGGGAACAAACGTCAGTTCGTGTCTGCGGGAAGAACCTCGACCATGTTGTGTTTTGGTTCAGTGGAATCTCCGCACAGGTCATGGGACCTCCATTCATGGGACTCTCTGGCTGCAGACCTCTTGCTCCGCAAGTGGCACAGGTCACACGGTCATACGGATGTTGTGCGGATGTCATACGGTTCATAGGGTGCCTTGTACTTCACCTCTGCAACGATTTGACTTTGGCGTGGCACAGGGGGCGTTCCCTGTGATGAGCAACGGAAGCCCGACCCTCGAAATTAGTGACGGCACAGACAACCCATTATCGGGTTTAGGGTTTTGGGAGGTTTGGGGTTTGGGGTCAAAGCCAGCGTCTTTGCATGAGCCCAGTGGCACAGGTTGTGGGGTTCCGCAAGCAGTGCGGCCTCAAATGCTACCTCAGGCCTCTGTTGCAGCAGTTTGCGGACCTTCGGTCACTGCTGATCTCTGTACTATTAAATATAGATGCCCGCATTTGAATGTCTAGTAGGATCATCAGTGATTGTGCATCATGATCATAGCCAGAAGAACCATTTTGTGTTTGATTTGGGTAGGGCTCGGGGGGACCTGAGACCATATGTATATATAGATATATATGTATATGCTACCCCGCCCAAAAACCTTCCGTATCCTCATTTTCTACACTTGCGTGACATCAAAACGCTTCAAAAATGAGACCGACTCCCTAAATCCTGTTCCCTAAGTCTTATTCCCTTAACCTTATGCACAAAATTCTTTTGCATCATCACTAATTCCGAAAGAACGGAGCCTGTTCTCAGAAAGAGTTCCTGGGAATCTTCAATCTTCAATCTTCAAATTTCAGTTGGAGGGTTGATTCAAATTGAATCGCCCGATTCAATTTTCAATTTTGAATCGGGTCCATCTGTGGAACGTGCCACGTATCACGATAAAGTATAGGAAAAAGTATAAATGGTAGTTTTTTTTTGGGGGGGGGTACCATATATATATATATGAATATATATATATATATATATATGTATATATATATATGTATATATATATATATATATGCTCTGACCGCTCCTCCCACCAAGACCTACCTCTCGCAGAACACTTCGTCTCAGATTCATAGATGTTGCTCACCTTAGCTTCCCAGGTTCCCAGATTCACAGATTTGCCCACCTCAACTTCCCAGTCACCGGATCTAATTATCCCCTACTTACAAAGCACCCCCACCCCCGGCCCCAAACCCCCCCCGCCCCCACCCCTTCCCAGAAAGCAAGAGAACGCGCCCGTCACGCACTAGGCGCTCTCACCTTCAAGCAATCCACATCCGGTGAACCTAGAACTGGAGTGAACGCAATCCGGAGATTTCATTCTCTTTGCTTAAATCTCAAAAGTTTTCATAGCGTAAATACCTTGAATAATATAATTGGGAAGACGACACTTTACATAAATGTCCAATACATACTTCTGTCTTGTGTTTTTCTTACTTTGTTCACTCCCAGAAACCATTGGTATGTACGTGCGAGTTTTTAATTTACTCACACATGTTATAAACTTGAGGAGTGCATACCACGTATCTTGCTTGTGCTCAAGTTCCCGACCGGATTCCGGTTTGAAAAAGTACTTCTACAAGATGTCGCCGAAAAAGACTGGTTTTTCCGCATATTTCAATCATGCTGATATATTCGGTGTTCATGAGTCCGCACGATTCTTTTCTCTTCGTTCGGAGGCTTAGGAATCAACAGCTGAAAATCGTCGCCAGACTACGGGCCAATGGAGCATGGGCTGTGCCAGGCTCTGCCAATACCCGTGCTTTAAAACAACCGTATGGTGGCTTTCTAACCATTTGGGGGTCTATGTAAGGGCTGTTAGGGTCCCCAATCTCCGTAAACCCCCCATATAGGTTAAAGAACAGAAGTGACCCCGGTTCTATGTTGTCCTTTTTCATTTGCCTGGCCAATTTAAAAGTTCAAATAGTTAACACAATAGAACTGACCCTAATTCGACTATTGACTTTTGTAATAATTATCTGACCTAAACAAGAGAATTCGAAGGGGGGTGAACACATATTATGTATACAAAAATATAGCCCCAATCCCTAAACCTGCCCTAAACCCTAAACCCGATATGTTGAGCAGCAGGCGCGGCCTTGCCAGCCCGGGCCTCCGATGGACCTCACCTGAGGCCAAGTTCTTCCGCTCCAGGAACACAGAAGTCTGCGCCCGAAACATCCCCAAAATCTGGTTTAGGGTTAAGGGTTGAGGGTTTAGTAGGGTTTAGGGTCTGCAAAACCCAAAACCCTGACTCAAGTCGGGTTTCTTACCAATGCCGTGGCTTCCGTGCTTTGCATCTGCAGCAGAAGCCGCTGACATGAGTGGACCGATCTTCAGGGAGAGCTGTCAAATCTTGCGCGAGGCCTTGGGTCTCTGCATACGCCCAAGATGCGGCTGATTGCAGCTATATCTTCATTAAGTATGCTAACCCGTAGAGCATGAAGGTGCCACTCAATGCATTGGCTTGCCCGACAGACCAAAAGTTGTGACTGCCATTGTTTCCATTGTTTCCCTTGCTGCGCGCTTCCAGTGTGCTTCCGCATGTTGATCTTGACTCAGCGGGGCCCATCTGCAGAATCCAGCCAGCGTATCTTCGACGCTCAGTTGAAAAAACAAGGCAGACCTAGCACTCATAAGTTGACAATGCAATGAAACCTTATGAAATCGAGATTCTTTCTGCGTGGCTTTCTAGGGCACAAGAGAGGGCAGCGTGCCCTTGTCTCGGTGTTCCCGATGGCCCTGGCTGATGATCCGTGGCTCAAGGTCTTCGGCTTCCCCGATTTCGCGCACTCCGAGTGCAAAGATGTAATGGAGCGGCCGATCTGTTGGGGACTGCCCCTACTAGCCTATGAATACACTTTGGTGGATGCAGTAAACAAAGGCGGGCATTTCAAGCAGCATTGAGAACTAGGGAGCTGTGGAGTGAGCGCTGGCCCCAAGCTGCGTGTGTAAGGCACATGCTGGAGATGCCATATCCCGAGCGGGTGCGTCACTCTTGCTGTGCCTTGCAAGATGTCGCCTCTTGCACGCACGCAGTCTGGCATGTCCTCTGAATCCGAAACCCTACGCGCACACACACACACACACACACCTAGACACACACTGGCAAATCGTGAAGTTCGAAGCTGCAGGCAGTCTGCAAAAGTGTCAGCTCTGCACCCCCAAACCGACAAGTGCGGTGGACAGCTGAGGTTTCCAAGCTCGAGGCTGCCGTCCCAGCAAAGATCCACAAAGAGAGATGGGGGTTTCCGAATTGGGGGTACCCTTTTGGTTCCTATTTTAGAAGGATCCTATTATTCGGGGGTTTTATTAAGGCTTTCTTATTTTCGTAAACCCCCAGATGTTGAACCATCCCAGAAGGATTGTCACAGTCACAGCATCGCCTGAGGCTCCTGCATGGGCGAGCCGTGCGAACACTGCATGCTTCGCGGCATCCCTGAACTTTGACGATGCTTCACTGAACAGAGCACCGACAAGGCTGCACGCAAGGCAGACTCACGCATACTTCTGGAAAGGCCGCTCCAGTCAAGAGGTACATCTGTGAGCCGCTAAATACACCCGCATCAGCGAAGATTCGCTGCAACTGGTGCGCCATGCACTTACGCAGCTTCTGCTGCTTTGAGGACATGTGCGCCCTGGACGATCAACCTATAGACGCCTGCGCCTCGGATATTTGCAGTTCAACACACAAACCTCCAGAGCCGAGAAACGAAACGAGGCCTCTTGCACGGGCTCGTGCTCGTCCCAAACGGTTGGCGAGGCGACCCAGCTCCGTGAGTTTGAAGGGCTGGCATGTGCTAAAGATGAACCCTAAGCTCCCAAAGCCTTCAGCCGCTTCAGCCCCGGAGGTCCTGAGAATGCTCTAATGATTAGAAACGTTTTTCATAGTCTTCGCATGGACGCCTAGACTTGGCTGCTTGAATGGAGAGGGGGGTGCTGGATGCTGTCTGAAGTAAAACCATAGAGCCTTTTGAAATCTTACAGTCAACACCAGCTGAAGCCCAGCTTTGCACACGACTAGGCAATCCTTAGAGCCCCTGCACTACCGGGTCTTACCGGGCCCAGCCCCCAACTCAGTTTAAATAGGACCTTGGCGCGCATGAATCAAGAAAATGCCTTCTAACGGCCGATTTTGTTCACTTCAGTTTGTGACCATGGACGGAAGCTTCGCTGGCTTTGTTCGGTCGTGCGTCATTTTTGAAGCAGACATATTAAAAAGAGCCCTGCAGCAAGCTGGCCAGGAGGCAGCCTTCATTTGCCTGGCCGGGGCCCTCGACTTCGGCTCGGGATGGCGTGGGGAGCTTCGTGCCCACCATGGCCTGGGACCCTGGCAAACAGCGCCCCTGCCGATTTCATTCTCGGGGCGCGCTTTGGGAATGAATGTTTTGGAGCTGTGCCATTATAGCTGCGTGACCTGCCTCGGCTTGGAGCCATAGGGGTCCGGGAGGGTGCAGAGGCAAGGGGGGCCAAAGAAGGACAGGAGTCATACATCCAGAGGAGGACAGAGGAATCTTCATGATTTCCCACACAGTGGCGGTTAGGACATGGGGTGTCCATAGGGGTCCATGCAAGGTCCACGCAGGCAACGTTTGATTGTTCTGTGCCATCAGTGCCGAGTCTTCATTGCTACGTGGGCCTGCGTGGAAGCACGCTGCCGCAACTTGTCGAGCGTGGTGTGAATTATGTTGGCCGCTAGAAGCCCAAAGTCTGTTGCTGTGCTGGCGAGTGTGTTTTTGCCTTGATGCGGAGGTGCGGGCTGGCCTGGAGAAACTCATTGCAGCATGTCCTGACATGCGGGCGGCAGCTTGTTTGCACAGCCAAGACCTGTCTGGCAGTTGTCAGGACAAACCTGACGCAGCAAGGACTGGCTCTACAGCTTGCGCTTGACCGACGTTGCCAAATATTTCGGCTTGCAGGGCGAGGGCCTGCAAGAGCTGCTTGGATGGCACGAGTCAAGACGGGTTAGGCTCGACAGTGTCTTGCAGACTTTCCACTGGGCAACGCCCAGGTTTGTGCAGAAACTACACGTCGCACCCTGGCCGGGAAGCAAGGCATGTCATGTATCTTTCCGAATATTCTTTCACGTATTCACGAGGTTTCATGAGCTGCCAAGGTCCTCCGCGAGTTGGGTGAGACCTTGTTGGAAAAGGGTTACCCGCACCTTATCTCGAGCGCAAAGATGCAGATGATCAAACCTGTGCAGCCGGTTCCCTCCTGTGCTGCTCATGATGGCTGTAGCTGATGTGCACCAAGGAATCTCCAAGAGTTCATCATGCTTTCTGTAGACGGCCTGCACAAAGATGTGGACGCAGCGTCCAAGCTGGTTCAGGTCTTGGCAGAAACCTTTCCGCAGCTTGACTGGCAAGCTGCAGACATCTGTCGCAAGTTCACTGCACGCAGCCGACTAGTCAGACAGACCCGAAAAAGTCCGTGATGCAAAGCCGCGGTGCAGCCAAGGAACTCCTTTCAGGCCCCTTTTTCGGCTGAGCCGCGAATTGCGCAGCTCCCCTTCGGGTGCCTTTTGCCCATGCGTAGTCTCAAAATTCCAGGACATTGGCAAGCTCGGTGGGCTACCGGTCTTCTTCTACAAGAAAGCCCAGAGCGTGGTGAATGAGCTATATGCGGCTAGGCTCTTTAAGCTGTTCATCTGCAAGTATATGTTGTACAGTATCTATTATTTTGTAAACAAACATACAATACTCAATATATACCACCTTGCTCGCACGCACACACACACAATATATGTATATGTATGTATATGTATGTATAGAGAGAGAATGTTCAAAAACACATTGTATTAAGTATGAGAAGAAGCAACGTATAAACACAAAGTATAAACATCATAATACAGCTATGGCAAAAATCGAAAAGCTAAAAACTTATCATATCCTCTACACTCAGAAAATCTTTTGCATTAGGACATAGCATATATGTGTATACAGATATCTGTGTACACACACATATAAATATGAATGTATAAATAGAAATGGAAATATAGATTTAAATCTAAACATAGACATAAATACGTTTGTATATATATATATATAAATATAATAATACAAAAATAAATAAATAAACAAATAAAAAATAGATGAATAAATACATAAAATCTGTGTATGTATATATATATATATATATTACAGCGACCAGGACAAGCGCAACAGTTTTAGCAAACACAGCTGTATGTGGTGCTGAGGAGCGCCTCCACCGTCGCGATGGCCGCTTCGCTTTTCCGGACATCAAGATGCTGGCGGCCAATGTGGATCCGCTGGTCATCAGCGTCCTGCGTCGGGAGCACGTGGTGAAGACCACCCTGGAAGCTCGGGGTTTAGGGTTTAGGGTTTAGGGTATTGTCCGGTTTCGGGAAGGGTTTTGGGGCTTCCGATAAAGATGGGCGCGTAGTGGGGTCATCGAGGAGCTCGCTACGCAGCTGGACTTGCACACTCCTCTTCCCAGGGGCGGGCCCGCTGAAGTGGCTTTAAGAGCCGCGGCCATCGCCGCTCTGGAAGACATTGCCTCGCCCCCTGGGAGCAACTTCGTAAGTTTCTTATGTGCAGAGCTAAAACCCTTAACAAGATATGCAAACATGTGCAACTGCTGGGAGTGCACGGCAAGGATTGGAAAGATGAGGGGCTACGACGTTTCACCAGTCATGCTAGGAAATTACATATGGGCGTGTTTGGGACAGATCGACAAGCCGCTCTGTTTCGCACGCCATGTCACAAAGGACACCACCTTCTATTGACCAATAGATGGCCTCTAGTTTCAGTGAGGTAGACCGTCGGATTTCAGATCTTCCTAATACAGGACAGATCGTTGTCCCTCCCGACCGCTGTATCTGCAGCTCATCAGCATCAAAGACTCCAACAGCAATTCGAATTTGGCTGATGCTTTTGTGCTCTCTGTCAGCCTGTCAGCAGCATGGTGCCAGCATCTTTTTCTCAGCAAGATGTCTGACTGCGACATGCATTCTGAAGAGTAGATGAGGGGAGCCAATGATCCAGCTGAGCTCCGCAAAGCCTAGAGGGTTTGCAGTTCTTCGAGGTGGCGCGGCGCATCAGCATCGGCTGGCCTCGCCTCGTCACGCGAGGGGTGGCCTTGATCTTGTTGAATTTTGTTGGAGTATTTTTGCCGCTTGTATCATCTTGTGCCGCGCGTAGCGTTAGTTTTGAGCTTGGCACGGAGAGTGCGGTGCCAGACGACAGTGTTTGACTCGGCCGACCTCCGCAGCCCCCGTGGGTCAAGCCCTGTGGGTCTTTAGTTTGGGGCCGCGTCAATCTTGGGAGACGGGGCGGTGGCCTGTCGGCAGCTGTAACACATATGGGCAGACTTAACGATTTGGAGACGCAGTGGCAGCTGGTGCGCAACAGAATTGACCAAGGCCTCCTTTGCTTGGACACATGCCTGTCACAAGTGGTGGCCACGAGCCGTGTGCTGACTTTGAGACTATACTAGACGCTTGGCCGGGTTTCCATATTTCATATGACTCGTACCTTGACCAAGGCAAACTTGCCCCTTTGCCAGTAGCAGGGTAAGTCAGAATCGTTGAAAGTCGGGTGAAGTTGGCGCTGCGGCCTAGGATGAGGTGCCGATTGATCAGGCTGGAACTGCTGCAATCGAAAAGTGCCTGCCGCCAGACCTCCTTGAATGATGTTGCTGGCCAGGCGCCAGAGCAGAAGAGCCTGCCCGGAATGGGGCAGCTGCTCCATCAGGCCATCGGGAAGCACATGCACCCTGGTTGGTGTCAAGCAGGATGACTCCAAACACACGCCAGAGTCTCTGACCAGGTTGACAGCCTCCAGCAAGTTGTTGCTGCTACTTGTGAGTCAATGACGTGGCTCGCCTTAGCTTATGCATCTTGCACACGGTTTTTCAATGTATTTCGGTTAACTGCTGTAAAAAGGAAGGCATCATCAGTTCAAGAAACATGGTACCTGTTTCGACAAGTCAACAAGAGGTACTTGCCTTTGTGAACAGAAGCTGTAACAATGTCTATTCAGAAGTCCTCTGTCGTTTTGTGCTCTGACAGTCCCAGGGCCACTTTAAGTCTACCAGCCTACCCTAGACCCCCCAGTATGTCCATGTTCAAGGTTGCTTGTTTACAAGCAAGTGGAAGCATTGAAGGACTACGAGAAGGACGGGTCATGGGAGGGTTGCTGCAATGATGTGAGCAGAGCGTGGGGTGGGCATCCAAAGGAAGCTGCCAACTTGCAACGCGAGAACAAAGAGCTTCGCTGCAGATTAGCTGACTGGGAAGGCCAGCTATCTGTCGGCGCGGTTTTGGTTGTGCGTTGTCTGGATGGACACTGGCGATTATGTGCTTGAGGCCAGCCAGTGCCCGGGACGATTCGTGAAAAAGAAAACGGACCAGACCGTGCAGCAGGTGGGACACAAGCTTTTCAATGACAGGTAGTTAAAGGTAGTGCCTGTAGAAGAATCGAGAAGACCTGAACTCCGCGGCTGTGCACTCTGAAAGCACGTTCGAGTGGGCCAGGGAGCCTAAAGCTTGCGACGGTAGGGCAGCAACTACCTGAATCCGCATGCCCGTGTGGTTCAAAAACGTGCGCCTGGCTGCTGTTCGCTGAGGTGCTGCATCAGGGCCGCACCATTCGACCATCAACCGTGAGGCCACCCGAATTGGGGGTCACCGATACATTGGAGACCTATAGGCAGATGCTTGTTAAAGGAGACGGCGCCTCTAAGAGGCCGTGCGAGTAACCACAATTTCTGGGGCTCGGGGTGGGGGGGGGTGGGGGGGGGGGGGTGGGGGGGGGGACACCTGCAACTCCAAAGCCTGAACCCCTAATCCCCAAAGGCCTAATCCCTTGCTGTTTCATTCGGGGTTTATAAGCAGAACGCGCCCGCGCCTAGGCGACAGCGCAATTTCAAGCAAAAAATGTGTCCGAAACTTCAAAACAAGACCCCCTAGAAAAAACACAACAAACAAACGATCCTTAAACCCAAAATAATAGTCCAAGCAGTGCAAACCCAAATCCTGTTCAACATGGGGAATGAGCAAAACGTGCCCGCGCCTAGGCGAGAGCGCAACTTCGAGCAAAAAATGCGTCCAAAACTTCAAAAAAAAGGACCCCCTGGAAAAAAAAACAACAACAAAAAACGATCAGGCTTCGAGCGAAAATGCATTTTCCCGAAAAAATGACCTAACCCTTCAGTGTTTTCGAGCCCTGCAAATGCTGCGGTGATCACGAAAATGTGTGTTTTACTTGGGTTTTGAGCACCCAACGCGAAAAATGTAAACAAAAAATGTGTTCAGTCACACGGCCTCTTACGGGCGCCGCCACCTTGTTAAAGTCTCCTTGCGACCTGGAGAAGCTTGGGGCCATGTTTGGGGTCATGTTTGGCCATTTGGCCATCACCTGCTTGTCAAAGTTTGCAGGCGTGGGGTGACGACAATGATGGGGCCCTGGTCCTAGCTGCTAAACACTGCATCATGCTTTTGGGGCAACTGGATACGAATGATACGATGGCTCTGCGTGACCCACACAGATGCTTTTGAGGGACATGGCACGCTCTCGGCGGGCCTTGCGGCAGTTGTCCGGAGCCAAGTGTGATCATCCAAAAACGACTTCAGCAACTCTTCTGCCGAAGGTGCCAAAGAATCAAACACAGCAGGTACAACGAGCATAACTTTCGAGCCTTCGTATCAGCGCTGCGGTGGAAGGATGTAACAGGTTAAGTCATGCCTGGATGAAAACGGATTTTGACCCGTTGAGCAGCGCCAAGTTGCCTATGAGGTTCCATCTCCATCCCCTTCGCAGCTCAAAGCCGGCAACGGTGGCGTTTCTGCTCAGCCATCCCATGACGACGATGAGCTTGCGAAAGTCCAGTTTGCCGCTCGGGAGGCCATGTTCACCTTTGCTCGGCACGCTGTTGTTCCGCCTCCTGCTAGCTCGACAACTCTGGCCCCCATATTCGAGAAATTTAGAGCCCACAGTTTGCACTGCACGCTTGGCCTGGAGGCGGCTGTCTTTGTTGATGCCGATGCATTGAAAAGGCAGCTGAAGCAGAACCTCAGCACCGCTGGCAGCAGCAGTCATGTCCAACCTCACCAGCTTTGCGCGTGCATTTGCCGGCTGACGCGCTGGCTGAGGTAAAGAGACATATGATGTTTCAATGTACTACAAAGAAACTGGAGTGTGGCAGAGGACTCGTCGCCGATGACGGATAATGACGGATAATGACGGTTGGCGATACCGTCATCGGCAGTACATTTCCATAGGTGTCTTGTTTCAGATGACCTGTGCACGCAGACTTTCGAAACCACGCCAAACTCACATGCTGATGCGGTCGCGATCTTGCCGTGAGCTTTTTGCAGGATAGCTCGCTCAAGCTGCTTTGAGCACGTGACTCTGCTAATGATCGCGGTCAACTCCATATGGATTTCGTACGACACGGTCCGCAGATGCAATCAGACTTGTTGGCTTGTTCAGGATGCCAGTGTGCCTGGTCTGAGTCTGCCCTCGCCCTGAAAGGACAACAACTTTGCTTCAACGCTACTGGATGCGGAGCCTGTCTTCGTAGTGGTCGAGAACCTCTTCTGTGTGTACTTCAGCGCAGAACTGGCGATCCGCTTTCTCGCGTTTAAGCACAAGAGAAACTGCGGCAAAGACGGCTGGTTTGTCTTTGATACGGTCCTAGTCGCCCTTATGGCCACCTGGCTGCGCAGAGGAAGCGTTTCCATCGTTTACATTGCATGATTGGCAGTGTCACTGCAAGGGTTCATCATTCATGTTCATTCTGCGTGGCAGTGCCGATGGCCTGAGGTTTTCGAAACATGGATACTCACAATTGCAGTTGTGCCTGAGATGCAGTTAGGGCATTGCACGGCACGGAGGAATGGCGCCATTGCTTAGTGTTATCTGGGCCGCATAGTTGTGAAAACGCGGGCAAGAAGCTTCCTGCGCGTGTTTGCCAGCTGTAGGCAGCGATGGGTTCTGGTGCCATGAGCAGCCCGAGTTTTCTTCGAGTGCTGCGCCTTTTCCGCCTGACGCGCATGGCGCGAATGGCACGGCTCCTGCGAGCTTGTCCTGAACTGTTTGCATCTTGGCCGCATGCAGTCACCTTCGGGTCCGGTTGCTTGGCCTGAATGCGACGCCCGCTATATGCAAGTCCTCAGGTGATGCTGAAGGCTATCGGAGTGGCACTGCGCTCCGTAATGTTTGCGTTGTTACTTCTCCTTGGCGTGGTGTATGTCTTTGCCATAGCGACTTAGTTGCAATCAGCGCTTCACGATAGTCAGTGCGAAAGCAACGGAAAGCAACGAAAACTGTGACACAATCGCATTGTGCCTGCTGTGCAAATGTCAGTGCCTGACAGTGCAAGCCTTATTCAGGGACTGGATAGGGTGTCTTAGATCTCTCGGGCACCCAACTGCAAGCCATCCGAGTTCTTCACCCAACTCCTGGATGGCCGTCTTGCACAAGCAGGCAGTGTAGAGTCTCAGTTCAGTACCGTGGCGGCTGCCTGGCTGCAGAGTTTGAAATTTTGGGGAGCCGAGGGTTGGTTTACTGCATCACTTTGATTCCGTACAGTGCAAGGCTTTGCGCTTGGCAATAGAAAGTGCGCATTCGTGTGGCCAGCGATACCTGTGGTGATGTCTCGCGCAGAAAGAGGGCAAAGTGGCAGTTTATCGTTTGTAGTGTTACAGGAACTCTGGATCAGGGTCTTCTTGTGCTTTTCCGATGTCCAGTCATGGTCATTCTTGTGAGGGCGTGACTGGCTAGAGCTTGTGGCTGTGCCGGTGATGTGAGACCTCGATAAGTCCAGCAAAAAACCCTCCACCAGAGCCTTTCCTTGCGCTGGTGGGAGATTCGCAGCCTGGAATCCTCTGAGGAGTCCATGAATACCTTGCTCATCAACGGGGCACTACCCGACCAAGGAGGCTGAATGCCATGGGCCCATGACATGCGTTTCAGGTCGCCACACAGCATGCGCAAAGTTGCGCAGGATCTTGCTTTAGGCCCATGGGAGTGATTCCTGAGCTCCTGCCAGATTTGATAAATCAACTCCGGGCGCTAGATGGCGGTGGCTTCTACTATTTCATGATCTTGCGACTTGGAGGGCTTTAGAGTCTTTAGAGTATTTGTGGCTTTGTCTGCTACGCTTCCCTTTTTTGCTGGCTCCATTTCGCCACGAAAGCCTCTGTGCCTGATATGTGCATTCGAGGACTTACCTCTTGCTGGCCTCACTCACGGAAGCTTGTCTGCATGTAGGAGCACGCAGTTGCGAATAATAAGAATGGCGACGTCGCTCAGGTCATGAATATGCTCATCGGTATCCTCTGCGAAGTCATCAGTGTTGTGTCCCACGTCCGGTCCTAAGACCCGTTTGTGTTATCAGCAGCTACAGGCGAAAGTGCGAGTTAGAATGCGGTGTGCAGCAGGTGGAGAGCGAAGAAATAAAGATTCTCGGCATGGCTTCAGGGGCCTGCATGTGGTATGTTCGTGGCAGTCATTCCGACAATGGGCCCCGAACATGTATGGCAGCTGTGATGGGCAGGAACACACACTGCTCGGCTTTACTGAGAGCATCACGGAACAAACATTCACGCTTGCCGTTCTTGAGGCTGAGTGCTGTAAAGAACTCCCTGCAGCGCATTCTGGAGGAGACGGAAGCGGCTCCTCGGCGGAGATGTGGGAGCAAAGTTTACGCATTGATGTCGGCCAATGTGAGCATGCTTCTGCTCGGCTTAGGACGAAGATGGGGACAAGAAGTTGAGCCACCGGGCCAAACAATGAACAATGGAGAAACTCAATTTGTGGGGTTTCCGATTAAAATCCGTATTGGTGGAATGCTGGGTCTACCTTGTGGCCTGCCAAGATCGCGCGGAGTTGGAGCTTCTCCTCAAGAATCCTCAAGCCGTGCGGACGCTGGCTGATGTTGGAGTGGATGTTCCCAGGCAAGAATAACATAGAGACGGTTCGAAGCACCCCTTCTTGGGAGAGCGATGATCTCACGAGGGCCTGCTTGCTTCTAAAGCAAGATATAGCCTCTCCCACAGATTCCACTGATGTGCGGCTCAGCCATCAATGCAATGCAGCCACATTGGAGTCCTACGTATGCTTGCGGCCTGATGTGCATTGTGATAAGCTCGTCCCTGCTACCCGGCCGTCTAAGTTGCTGGCCCTCGTGGATTTGATGGATTTCATATTCGAGCAGAATGAGGAGCCTGAGTTTTGACTCGAGCTCCACCATGCACGACCTCTGAAGCATCGAGCTCTCTATGATTGTAGATGCTGTCAGCAGGACCTCACCTTCCCTGAGTTTATGGACATCGTCTTGGATTTAAGAGGGGACAATGCTGCGACAGTAGCCCGGCTGCACCATTCCACCTGGACAGTTGATTTTTGAGTTATCGCGTTGCAAATCTCGCCGTGTTCTGCGTGTGAAGCTGCGGACCTGTCATCTGACAGGTCAAAGACATCGTTGACCTCAGGCGATTCGTGGGAAGCTCAGATGCTTCATCGCTTGAGTTTGGTAGAGGAATGCACTACGGAAGTGGAGCGGTTGCTTGCCTTGTTTACACATGGCCTTTGAGGTCGCCTCGCAGACCAAGAAGGTTGAGCGGATTTACAAGGCATGCAGTTGCAACATCATGTGCTGTAAGCTGTAAACACAGGCTAGTGATGCGACAGTCTCTGGCCGAACTTCACTTGTGACGTACTGAAACATTGAATCTGAGGGTTCTTACTCATCTTGATATTTCCCATATTCATACCCACATTACCCAATATCTTAGATAACAACAGAACCCCTCTTGCCGGACCCAGGAGGCTTTCAGATCACCTTCGATCCTGAAGCCGCCTTCCATCCCAACCCCCACGCTTGCAGAAGTGGGAACGAAGACTTGTTGAGCCCTGTGAGAGCAGAGCAGCGTCTTACGCTCGATACCCCGGGCGGAAAACAGACGGCTCCGTAGACACAGGGCTCGTGCCGGCCAGGAGAGTTGGGACAAGACTATTCTCAACCCATGATATCCTCATATTATGACGTTACAATCTTACAATATTGCGCTTTGAGAATGTCATAGAAGAGTGTGCCATGTTGTCATTTTAGTTGTGGCCGGTTGCCAGATGTCTCACCGACAGTGCCGCGAAGCGACAGGAAACTGCCTTCACCTGTGAATTGGCTCCGTGGGTTGTTGTCAGTTCTACCACGCCATGTCCTTCAGCCAAGTGAGTAGTCAAGCATGCCCCGGGGTGGGGGGGGGGGCGGAGAGAACACCCTCGTTCTCGCAGTCTTTTTTGGAGCCAGCCCTTTTTTTCCATATCGTTTAGTGCAAGTAGCGTTACCGACAAGTGGAGCACGCGGAAAGATGCGCTCTGCCACACAGTTTTTTTGGCAGGGGCTGCAAAGCTCCAGTCATGTTTCCCTTAGTTGGGAAAGATTTCCCAAGCGTAGGTGGCAGCCGATGGACAAGTTCAGAAAGCACAGATACAAGCAGACAAGCAGGATTCCGACGCTGCTACGCCGTTTGCTGTCAAATTCAGTAGCGTCTCAGTTAGAGCTGCCTGAAGCGACCCAGAACATCTAAGTACGCATATTAGTTGCAGGGAGGGCGCTTCAGAGCTCTGATCGAGCCATCTCGAAAACCTTAGAATTGCTACTTGCAGTCTGCTGCCGAGCTTTCAATCTTCAAGCTTGTGGCCAACGTTGTTTGGACGTTGTTTGGAGGTTGTGACGTTTGTGAGAACTAGCCGAAAGCCCAAGAGAGGGTGAGGTCATATGTTGGCCAAGAAGCGGGCAGAGGCCCTCTATGCCAGATGATGCCAGAAGAGCTGATGAAGGCTGCCGGGGGCTAAGCCCTTCTTGCTGGATGGTGGTATTTGTGCTTGGCCTCGTCGAACATTCGCAGCATGAGTCGTTGAACTGACCGTAGTTGGAGCAGTCTCCCAAGCACAGATATGCAGTAATACGAGTTTTTTGCCGACTGATAGACCCGATTTCGTGAGCTGACGCCATGCCTAAGCGCATTGCCGAAAAGAGAGCGGTCCTGCACACGTGTCGGTGGGGCTGTCGGCATGGGCCTCGGAGGAGGATGTTTCGTGTGACACGGCCTCTATTCGACTTGTCGGCGTTTTTTTCGCGATTGCCAGGCACGACTGCGATGCTGCGTCGGCCGTAGAAGGAGTTGAGGACAGCCAGCAAGCGCTGAATTTCGTCTGAGGAGGGACGCGTCTTGGAAAACAGATCCGGTTCGCTGCAGTGCGGCTCTGTTCTTGCTGCAATGTTTCTGATGGTGGTGGTGGTGGTGGTGGCGGTGGTGGCGGCGGCGGTGGTGGTGGCGGTGGCGGTGGTGGCGGTGGTGGCGCTGTTGCTGCTTCTGCTGCTTAGTGCTTGTTGGTTTGGAAGTTGTTAAGTTACGTGCCCATGTCAGTCCAGAGCCATTTTGGTTCTTGGTTCCCTAGCACGATCTTCAGAGAGCGAAGCCTGGCAGTGCAGAAATGAAAGGAGAATCATTTGTGCCAGCTGTTGGCTGAATTGGAGAGGGAGCGAGGGAGGGAAAGAGAGAGAGAGAGAGAGACAGATTCAGATGATCCTTATCTAAGGAACTCCGAGGAACTGCCGCTGTCATGAAACTCAGGGCAGAAACTTCTTTCCTCCTGCAAAAGCAGGTAAAACAGGCCATGCGATGCCAGAGCCATGCGATCTCACGTTCACAGTCTTCACAAGCCTTGTGCAGGACAGCTCAGTTGGTGTAGAGTTCCCTGGCTCAGGCTGTTGGACCTTTGGAAACAATTGGCACCGCCCTGTTGTCCACGTTGGCAAGGGCCTTGGCATTCAAGCTGGAAACGAACCAGCTGCAACTGAGAACATCTGACAACCGTCCGCCACATGCTGCATCTGTAAGAGCATGGAAGTGCGGACTTCCGCCTAGGCCTTCGCAACCGCGCTGTGTTGCATTGGTGGCACCATTCGAACATCTTCACCGACAGTAGCCATGCCTCCTGGCTGCTCTTCGAGATGTGTCGTTACATGCGAAGCGAGTAGAACTGATGGAAGGAGACTTACTTAGCTTGTTGTAGTCTTGGTGTTTTATGTTGCTTGCGAGAATTTCGGTGGCTCGAACCTACTCGTTGCTCGTGCATGCTCGCACGTCTGAGATAACCACCTAAAGCTCTGAAATTCCCTGAAAAGATGAATGCCAGTGTGAGCGCACACCAGGCTTGCTCCCGCATTGCTGGCCTGCCTCTCAGTTTTGCTCACCAGCTGAGACGTGTCGAATCGCTTGCTGTGCCCGGGTCTGGGAGACGTTGCATCGTGGCAGTGATGACTCGCCTTGAAGGCCATTCTGGCCTTGTTCACCAACTACGTTGGCATCGCCGCTTTGCTGCAGCTTAGCGACAACATGCCAATTCGCAGGCCGAAGGTTGATGCCCCAAGAAGCCAACAGACACAGCTGCAACACGACGCTCCAATGAAACTTGCTGGACTGGGCTGAATGGGTGCAAGTGCCGGTCGTGGTCTCGAGAAGGCAATGTGACGCAGTGGAGAGTTTAGGCGCGACATGCGTGCACGTGGGGCAAGTCACACCATCCGGCTCGCACAATTCTTGATTGTTGCAAACTTAGGCCTTGAGCCCCGATGCACGAATAATGCATTGACACCTGTGTGTGTATCGTTCACACTCACATGAACATCTATCTGTACATGTCCATATTTTATATGTCGATGTCATTTCGTTTTTTTGAAGTCAGCATAGTCACACGTATGTACGTACGTACGTATGTATGTATGTATGTATGTATGTATGTATGTATGTATGTATGTATGCATGTATGTATGTATGTATGTACATATATACATATATATATATATATATACTTCCATCCAGAATTACACACACACACACGGTGATGTATACATATACATCAATGAATGAGTATGTGCCGATGTGGGGGGTATAGATGCCCCGCACTTTGTCATCACACCTTCCAGGGACGAGGATTCGGGATCAGCGTTGCCAGGTGCCAGTGTCGGGGCAAGTACTTACCTCCGAGGGAGCCAGCCTAGGAAGCATTTTTTTGTGCTAGGCGAGACACCCCCCATCCCGGAAACAGAATAGCTTCCACTGCAAGAAGTTGTGGAGCCCCACCTATAGCTTCGAAACAGAGCCAAGGCTAGATATCGATCTCAGAGGCCAGCGAGGGCTTGGTTAGTGGTCTCCCTTTCCTTGTGGGCAGCCTGGTTGCGACCAGTAGGTTTTGGCATGTTTTTTTGATGGCTTTGAATTCTGAGCAGAGCAGCATTCCGAAACTTGTGAATCCGCACAAGTTGGAGAAGCTGAGGCTGGTCTTGCTCTCGGAGCTGTGGCCTGTCTCAAACTGCGTGCTAGCGTGGGCATGATCGGCCTCAAGCTGCGAAGCCCAAGGGCGAGCAGCCGATTGAACCCGATTGCGCCAGCATGGAATGATCCTAGGTAGGCTAAGGGGGAGCCTTAAGGGGAACCCTTCTTTACACTCTTCCGGCTCTCTCAAACGGGGACCTTATTCAGAGGGTCTATATCCCCAAGGGCCCCCCTCAGCCTATCCCCTAAGTGATGAGTCATGCTTTGGGACATCACGAACATGGTCCGCAGAGGTTCTTGGAAACAGCTACTGGTACAGCGGAGTGGCAAAGTACAACGAGTACCAGCAGATGGCTAGCTACGCTGCAGACCCAGTCGCAGAGGAACCTCCAAGCCATGAGGCCTGTCATTCGGCAGTGAGCCCGTCATCGTCATTCGGCAGTGGCCGAGGTCAATGTTGACCCCTCCGTTGACAAGGGCAGTTCTTTCATGGATGCAGGTGCCATATACTTCAAGGACCACCTCTTTTAAGATGAGTTCCAGGTGTTGAGGACATTGAGGACTCTAAAGCCAAGCTTTTCTCAAGCATGGGCCAGGATGGCTCCAGCGTAGACCTGACCAAAGCCATTGCCTTTCGGAATGGCCTGACGTACTGCGACCTGGCTCGGAGCTGCTTTCAGCAACATGTGTGGTGTTCGAAGTGCCTTATAAACCCCTTAAAACAGCTCAACTAAGGCGTGGCTCCGATTTATTCCGATCCTTTGGAAGGAACCGGCAACGAACGAAAGACCGCGGCAGGCCCTTCAAGTGAAGACACTATCTATTCATATCTATGAATATTAATGATAGACATAGTAGGACAATGTGACTAACATTCGTCGTATTAATAACATAACATTCATCTCAATATCCTCGAGAATCCCAAGAACTGTTAGTAATCTTAATCATTTCAAGAAAATCATGAATTCATGTTATTAAGACTGCTCATACTACTCGTAATGTGAATCATACTCGGTTAGTGACGAATATTGATATGATGAATAGCATAAATAATGTGAATAGTATGATTAAAAAATCGAGTCGAATGAGCAAGATGTATATAGCATTTCTAGTATGAACACAATTGATATTTTCTGGTAATCTCAGTGATCAAAACATAGTAACACTAACAAGAATTTATAATCTTAATAAAGCTAGGGTTTAGGGTTATACTTATTGCAGTATTATGAATATTATGCATATTAACCAGTGTGATTATGGTGATTCATAGCTTAGATGATGCTTGCATGCGTGAGTGCCGGCTTGTGTTTCAGGTTTCGTGGTTCCCAAGAGCAGCGCCTTGGCTGATCTCACATAGACTCATATATATATATATGGCTTCAAATACAGCATACTCTATGATGTAATGCACTTTAATAGCATAAACCACATCTTAAATATTTGTTGAGTGTGCTGTAGGAGATATGGTAGTTGCTTTTACCATATGTCGTATATTATGTCATTTGATGATGTTCCTGGGTTGCTGCGATCGCGGAGATATATAGGAACCCTGGACTTCTGGGCCGTCGGCACAGATTGCTGTGGAACGACGGGGACCCCGTTTCTTGGCAGAAGAAGCCTTTGTCATGTTGTGAATGTTATGAATATTGTGAGTAATAAACTATGAATATTATGAACAGTTTCTAAGTATTTGTGAACACTTTGAATATTAAAGGGCTGTCTGCGCTGGCGCAGCGGAGTTTCAGGTTCCAGTGCCATGATGCCACATCACCTTTCGCGCGCTCTGGCCTGCGTATCGTAGAGGACAATCACAAGGCCTTCTGGGCGTGTGTGACGTGGGGGCTTGCGGCTTTACCCCCCCGTGTAGCTTGACTTGGGTTTTTCTGGGGCAGAATCCATGAAGCGCGGCAGGCCATGTACCAGCTCGCAGTGCAGGAGAACGCAGTTTGGACAGCTCGAGAACTTGAGAGACCAAGAGAAGAAGAACATCATAATGGCAGCTCTGCCGCCAGGAGTGGACTGCAACTACAGGCATACCGGCAAAGAATCCGCTGTTCTTCCAGTGCCTTGGCAGCGTGTCGGTGATCACGTTCGATCACTAAGTCCTGTGCATGCATGGCATGTCCACCGACAGGTGGGTCGTTGATCCTATCGCCGAGCAGGAACACTACAGAAGCTCATGCCTTGATCAGACACTGCGAAGGAGTTGAGTACGGGTGATCCTGATCGAGATGCATCTTGTCAATCTTGTCATGAGGTCTTGTTAGCAACAAAGCGCCCAAGCTCACATTTGGCTACGCTCTTGTAACTCAGCTGACATGGCAGCTGTTCCTGCATGACATGACGGCAGCTGTTGTGAAGACGGCAGTTCCGCATGCTTTTTCCCGATACCAAGACATGCTGTACCACTGTGATCATGGGGCAAGTTTGTGCAGACGCTGAGGCTGCGCTTTTTGTGGCGTACATGCTTCACATGCTGTTGCGCCACTTCAAAGTCCTTTAAGAGGCCCGCGCGTTCCGGCTTTGTTCCGCCGCAAGTCCTGTTGCAGCTTTCAGTGCATCGCGGTGACCTGCCAGATGTCTCGGACAGTGTACTCTACCCCGGAGCCGGTGAGGCTGAAAACATAGCAGGTGACTTGATGACGACGTCTGTGCAATGGCCGTCTTCAAGAAAAAGCGGATCAGTCCAAGCCTGGTTCTGTTTGGGCGCCTTTGACTGATCACTCTTGGTCTTTGATTGGATGGCTGACTGCCACACTAACATGACAACATGGTACAGAGCACTGCCGAGCCATTGCACCCGCGTACAGATTCGACCTTCTCCTCCTTGCGGTGGTTCTATTGCTAGCGCAACAATGCTAGAGCAACGATGCCGCGCATGTTCTCCATGCGATTGCTCGCGGCTGGTAAGATTCAAGTCAGCAGGAATACGTGCTGCAGCGCTTCGGTAAGAGATTGAGGGTGCGTTCGCCTCGGGCATGTTTCTTCAGGTCCATTTGCTAAAGTTCGTTGGTGCTTTGTGTGGAGCTTCATTTGTGGAGAAGGCATAGTTAGTGAGCATTCATTAGTTTGTGAAGGCGGTTGCAGGTGTACTATTTCTCTCCGTCGCTCTCTCCCCTTACTCATGAATTATATTGAATACGACGAGGACGTTCCGGCATCACCCTGCGCTTTGGGCTGTCGAGTGTTGCTATGGCTGTTGAAGGGACTACATGCACCTGCACAAGACACTTACTTTGGCCGAGCCGGCTAAGCATCACGAGGTTAGATTCAGCAAGAACACTCTGGTAGATTACACTTCAACATCCTTCCACACATAACTGCGCTACTGGTACACAAGCCCGGCATCCACTCGGGGTGCTGCCGGCGCAAGATCGAGGCAGGGCAAGGAACGAACTACATGTTTCGCTGGTGCATCCTCAGTCCCTGTGAACCCTTTGCGCCTGCTTGGAGGTTCCGGGTGAACCCAAGTATAAGTGTAGTTAGAACCCACTTCTGAGCCCCTGAAGTACCCCAATGGGTTATCAGTGGGCTACAAGTTCAATTCTAACTGAGTTACTAAGCACCTGCGAGGCTCTGCAGGGAGCCAGCGCTGGCTGCCGGTTCTCTCTGGGCTCAGGGGGATTCCCCCGTGCCGCTCCGACAGGCCCGTAGCACTGTTGGGAGGGTTTAGGGTTTCGGGTTTAGGGTTTAGGGTTTAGGGTTTGGGCTGATCCAGAAAGAGCGGACAGGCCCAATGTAGCTTCTAGCTTGCAAATTCTTGCAGACGTTGGGGAGGAAGCGGTTTCCATCGCCCACCATGCTCATACGATTCGACAGAAAAGCTTTGGGCCCAGTTGCTACTGCAACATGCAGGAACTTGCTTGGGGTCGCAGCAAGGCTTAGCTTGGAATGCTGCTTGAATGAGGCCTTGCGGCGAAGTCTAGGACCCTTCGAGCGCAGGAGGATATCAATTCTCTGCTCCTTTGGCCTTCGCCTTATACGCCTTGCCTGCTGAGAAGTTGCGGACGGGATTTTTCCAGCCTCTTCCTCCACGCGCTCCTCTGAGGCTTTTCCGTGTGCTTCACCGTTATCTGTATGCTCCAGGACGAAAAGTTCAAATGCATGCACTGATGCTTTCTGTTCGCCATGCCAGATGGTCAGAGTTCCAGATTGTTTTGTGGGTTGCCACGCGCCCGATTGACTTGGAAGGACTTGTCCCCAACCGCCAGAAGCAGCATGGCAGAAATCATCGGGTGTGGACAGAGAGAGAGAGATCATCTGACTTGCAAGGAAAGAGGTTTCAAATGCTTGTGCTGATGAGGTGTCCGCCGGCTGTATCAGGAAGAGGTGATCACCACGACAGTTGCTGGGCCTCATTCCCTAAAGCCTAAACCCAGATTAAACAGTCAGCTTTCCGAGCTGTAGAATTTTGCAGGATCCCGACAGCTGAGGAAGCCCCAAAGTTGTACCCTCCAGATTTGCTTCTGGATGAGCCTTACGAGGATGAGCCGGTAGGCTGGATGGACTGAGTGGCTTGATGATCTTGGCCCCATCCCAACCCTTGACCTGAAGGCAAGAAATTTCTTGCCTTGTTCCACTGCGTCGGCATAGCCGCTGCCTGAGGGATGGCCGCGTCGGTGTACCCTTATGTGAAGCGCGTTTCCAACTCAACGGAAGTGAGGCCTACATGGTGCTGGGTCTGAACACGGTTTGTGACGTGTACTTCGCTGGCGCCATCGACCTGCTCTGTGACGCCTGGAGTCTGACTCCAGATGTTGCCGGGGTTCCTTTGCCGCATAGAAGCGTTCCTTTGGAATCTCCTTTGGAATCTCCTTTGGAATCTCCTTTGGAATCTCCTTTGGAATCTCCTTCCGTTAGTTGAGCTGACTGGAAGCATCTGAGGCGACCTGGATGGCCGCTGGCGGATCGGCTCCAGAGTTTTTCACGTCCATGGTGGGCGCCACTATCGCGGTGACCTCAGTTGCGGGGCACCATTGCACAGGTGGTTCTGTTCAATTCACACATGCTGTGTGTTGGACCTTGTCAGCACGCTTGGCAGGCGCAGAACGATGTGGGCTTTGGCACCATTGTAGGTTCGGCTGTTTTCAACGTGCTCTTCGTAATCGGGCTGTGCCCGAGCAGCAGCCGAGCACGCAAACACAACTCCTTTAAAGCTCCCAGTCCTGGCTTTGGAGTTCCAGCGAAGCTAGCCCCGCTAACTTGGATAGCCTGGGACTTGAATCAATCCAGCCCAGAGTGCATGCTTCATTGCACAGCTGGCGTGGCTCTTTCCTTTCTTGTAGCGCCTCATTGTCTTCCTGGGCCCAATTTCCTGTTCAAGTGCTGTAGAGCATCATTGGTCTGGGGCGTCGTCTTCGTAACTTCCTTCACATTTTACTTGCTTCCGCAAACTCAGAGGTGCGGCTACGTGGCCAAGGGCAACATAGAGCTCACGTGGTGGCCGCTGTTTCGGGACCGGTTTGCCTTCGTTCTCTCCAGCTTCGAATGTAGGGTGTAGGGTTTAGGCTTTAGGGTTTGCAAATGGGAGTGCTTGCAGGATTGTACCTACTACATTTGCTCGTTGGGCGTGCTGGCGTCCTTCACGTACAATCAGACAATAACGGCCTGGGAGGCCCGTGCTTTGAGGGCTCTGAGACCCTAAGGATCTCTAAAGCATGCTGCCTAACATGGTGTCCACGCAGGCTGTTATTTTGTTTCTTTTGTACGTGGGATCCGACCTCAGCCTCATCATGATCACAAGCCTGAGGGCCTAGATGGTTGCAAGTCCATGCCAGTATCACGTGACTGAGGCTACGTGTGCTTCATGTTCATCAACAGGCCCTTGAACATCTGGGCGTGGCTTGGCTCAGGTAGAATGCTGCTTGTGTAGGGTCCCGACATCATCCCGGAATTGTTTGGATTTCTTTTGCAGCCGCGGAGATACAGCGCAGTGGGACCACCCCCTTTCGACACTTGAGGTACGAAAAGACAGGTACCCCTATGAACAAGGAGCTGCGGGAGTACATCGAGGAAATGAGCAAAGCAAAGGCCGCCAAGGTCGAGCCTCAACAGGTAGGTCAGGTAGGTGGACCGGAGGAGGAATCCCCAGCCAAGGCCGCCTCGGGCTCATTTTCTGCGGTCACGTCTTTGCATGCCCCCCCCCCCCGCCTCCCTGTGAAATCTGCAAGAAAGTCTCCCGCTCTTCCGTAAGGCTCAGGCCACCGATGAGCCGGACCGACCCGAGCCTGCTAAAGACAACTACATCAAAGAAGATCGGGTAGTGCCAAAAGCCGCTTGGACTCCAATTGAGTATCAGTGTGTACCATTGGACATTGGATCTGCCTTTAAAATGAAGCTGAGGATGAGACAGAAGAGCCGGCCGGGGACAAGTTGGACCAGGTCCCTCCACTTCCGGTTTTGCAAGGGTAGAGAGACATCCTTTCCCTTTGGGACGTCTTCACGCCAGGAGCCGCAGGATGTAGAGAAGGCGGAGCCCCCCGCTGCTGCGGAAGAGGCGGAAGCGGCGGAGGATGACGATGACGATGACGACGACGACGAACCTGAGGACTTCATGATCATGCCAGAAGGCTCTGAGGGGTTGTCTATTCTGCTTTCCTGGTGCGCTGCTTCAGTTTTTTTGACTTTTCAAGGCACGTTGGACCGAATATTGTGGGGCCTAAGCCTTCCGGTGTATGCCCCACTGTATTTTACCTTGCCGGAGCCTCAGCTTTGGGGACAGTGTGCAGTCCACGCATGCCCCTTAGGGCCCTAAGGCTTCAATAAGCTTACGGAGCCTCAGCTTGGCTGACAACCAAGGCCTTGGCCTTCCAAAGGCTCTAAGCTCTTCATGCTCACCTTTGGATTGTCTTTGCTATGGATTGGTGGATTTGCGTTTCTGCTCGTCTGGTGGACTGACATCGCCACCCGACTTGGCATTTCCAGCCGGCGCACTCTGGATTCTGCTTTTCTTGGTTTTGGTGGAAGTTGTGCAGACACTCGCAGCTTGTGAGCAAGCCCGCCAAGGTAACAACGGTGGTGGGAGCACCAGCCTAAGCGAACATGGTCGCATCGGCAAAATCTCTCAGTGCGTCAGAGCACAGATGCTTCCCGATTGGCCCAGATACCCACCATCGTGTCTAGCGTCACCTTCTTGGCGGCAGCAACATCCATCCCCGATGCTGTGAGCTCCATGGCCGTGGCCCGGAAAGGAGTGAGCGTGTACTGCTTCTCTCTTTTTCATTTAACCGTGAACCCTAAACCCTGATTTGCCGGTACTAGTCCCTGCAATGTGGCCTGAGTGTCAGCTAGGCGGGTGGGAAAAAAACCTAAACACCTATACTGCGGAGCAGTATGGCCAGGACAAGCCGACATGGCAGTCAGCTCTTCGATTGGCTCTAACATCTTTGATATTCTCGCAGCCTGGCAGCCCTTGCAGAGGGTTTAGGAATTAGGTTAAAAGGGCCGTTTAGGGTTTCGGGCCAGCATGACAAGCCAGATAGCTTGCTCTGCTGGGGTGCCGTGTCATGTCGCCGAGTTACTGAGGTCGGATTGCCAGTTCCCTGGCTCCTCAAGTGTGCGATTGAAGCGAACAATCCTGAATTCAAAGGTGTGACTATACAGTCTCCCTATCTAATGTTCTACACTTGCTTGCTGCTGGGAATGGTCTTCGGGACTGTCATCAGCATCAAGCTTTGCGGCTGGAAGCTGCAGAAGGCATTAGGTGGTTGCATGGCTGTCCTGTATTTTGTCTTTATCATCACGACGGTGGTGGTGGAGCTTTCCCGGCCAACATGGCTCATGACGAACCCGCCTTTGACCTGAGTTGGGCCGCTGTGGGCCTTAAGGTCTTTAGGGTTTAGGGCTTTATTTCGCCTTTCGGAAGTTAATGCGGCGCCCCTCCCTTCGAAGAAGGGAGCATGCAGCGAAGCTGCTGCGGCAGTGTAAGTGTTCCCCTGCAGAGCTGGCATACTTGTGACTTCCTCCATGTTTTTATACCCGATTCGCCAAGATGACGGGTGTGCCAGCGGAGCCGACTGTTGGTGGCACTATGTGACAGTGAGCGGAGTGTTCCGTGTCGTTGTACCCGAAAGCAGTGCCGGCACGGCTGAGCTGACAGGATGTCACCCAGCAACAGTCTATACCATATAGAATGAAATGTATACGGAACACTTCGCTCATCATGTCATCTATTGAAGTTGCGGAGTTGTTGCGAACTCCGCAGCTGCCGGCTCTTTGAGCCGGCGCTTCGTCTTCCAATTTTCAACCCGGTTCTACCACGACCTGGACCACTGCCAGGCTGGTCAAGGCACGTTTCACCAGCTGCAGGCATTCCAATCTCACTAAGCTCGCGCTGCTCTGGCCGCAGTCAGAAACAAGCCGCTGTTCTCAACGCGCGCAGGTTAGGCACATTCAAGCTAGGCATTAGCGGCTACATGGTCCACGACGTGGCACCCAGTCGTTCGTATCAGAATCCTAGGTGTAGGGAATTGCTGGCACATGGGGACTTCGGCAGCGATTGTTCACGTGAGGGCGGGAGTGTGCACACCGATAGCCGTAACAGTACCGTCTACGAACATATAGTATCATACTCTGCATGGTATCATTATACATTGCAATTCCATAAAATGAAAAGCTCTGCTCCAGGTATCTCCACATGCTTCGTACACAAGCAGTATCAAGCAATCGGGAAAAGAAACACATTTTTCTTCTCTGAGTACTTCCAGAATAAAGTTTCCTGAGAGAAACAGTGCGTCGAGCTTCTCGGACGTTCTGAAGCCTGGATGCTGTGCAGCACTTGCACAAGCCCCGAGCCACGCATATGGCACGTGCCCCAATGTTTCCAAACCAGGAATTACGAGCTGGGGCCACTGGGCCCTCCCTAGCAGACCGATTCTTCTCCACCTGTGGCAACCGTGGCAGGGAGTGAGGGCATGGCAGTGCAGCGTTTTCGATCCTGCGACCCGCAGCTCTTGGCTCCGATAGTGCGAGATGTGGCAGATGTCCTAGATAGCCCGTTCATCCTCTGACTGGAGTGGCTCGGCCGTGAAGAAACCAGCTGTAAATTTTGGATGATCGGTTCAAGGCAGTCATGGTGCGATGCAGATCGGTTCTCGTTGGTTTCGGTAGTTCAGACCAGGAGACTTCTCTCAAGGAGGCTGACGGGCGGCGGGAGCCAGCGCAAGGATTCGTCAAGCAAACGTGTTTGGGGTGCGGCTGACCTTTGATCATAGTCATAGTCGTGTTGAGCGCAAGCCAGGATCATCACTCATCTGTGATGGGCCTCGTGCGCTTCAACAAAAAGGTCGGCCGCCACCGGCAGAGCAGAGTCATTGGTAGAGCCATCCCCTACTTATGTGAGTGCCGCAGGCACTACGAAGCTTGGAGCCGTTCCAGAGGAGGAAAATCACAACCATATGTTCTATCAGAGGGAGCCTCAGACACGCCCTTGTCTCCGCTGATCATACGCCATCCATGTGCGGCTGATCGCAACTTCGGACAAAGCACGCTTACTCTGAGCCGGCTGATGCCGGATGTTATTCAAAGCCGCGTGACTAAGGTGTTGCACTTGCATTTCTGCTAATATCACTGGCCCAGGCTGACTGCTGCAATCATGTTTCATGCCGGGGATTGGCATCTAAACAAACGCTGCCCAAACTTCCTGCTCCTTTTGCAGGACCTGTCAGAAGACTCATCCAGCAGCTTGGCAACGCAGGCCGTTTTCAGAGTGGACTGAGTTTGCTGGCCCTGCACTGGCAGGTCGGGGTCGGAGGCTCTACGAAGATGATCCCAGCACAACCGCCACTCTGAAGCGAAAAGTCAAACCCTTGCAATCTGCACGGTGCCGCCTTGAGCTGACGCCCTACCTTTGCGAAGCTCTTTGAAACCACATAAGAGCACAGGCATCCCCGAAGCTCTACCCTGCCGACCTGCTCCTGAACGAGCCGTACGAGGATGAGCCAACAGGCTTTGACATGCGCCATCCTTCATGGGTTTGCTTCCTGAGCTTCTCAACCGAGGGCCCTTAAGGTCGCAGGCGAAGTCCTGGTTTGGGGGAAATATCATGATGCTGGGTCAAGCAGTCTCGCTGCATCGCGCAGGCAGGAAGTTCTTAGCCCTTTTCCATTGCGTTGGCATCGCAAGCCGCTCAACATCCTGGCTTTTTGGACATGTGTGGGCTGTTTGTTTGCCCAAAACAGCCGAATCGCTGAGGCCTACATGGTTCTTGGGTTGAACACTGTTTGCGACGTCTATTTCGCGGGCTCCATAGACTTGCTTTGTGACGCCTGGAGCTTGACACCCGATGTTGCTGGAGCAACTTTGCCGCATTGGCATGACATGCCATTGAAGGAAGGGTGTTTGAATCGGGCTGTCGAAGCTTAGCAACTTGGAATGCCAAAGCAGTCTTCGTTCTGATACGGAGCAGGAACAGCACCCGAGAGTGTGCAGTATTCCTAGGTGACCCGGTGTTCCTGAGCATAATGGTCATACTAATAATATATATGATTCTCCTCATTACTATTAGACTCCCCAGCCTCAGCTGCCCAAACTAGAAACGAAGGGCCCTGGAGGGCGGAGCCAAAGCCAGGAAGAAAGATCCGCCAAGTAGATGCTGACATTGGGTAGCATGGTGCCGTCGTTCGTCCTTTGCAGCTTTTGCCTTAGAAGAATAGCACTTGGAGGTTCATGGTACTTATAAACCAATTATGACTGTACTTATAATTGTACCATTAATTGGTTAATAAGTACCATGAACATGTGCCGTCGGCTTAGGGCTTAGGAGTATCTCGGCCGAACAAGGTGCAGAAGTAGCAAGCAGGGTCCGGGACCAGTTTCCTGGCCCTGAAGTTCGGGGCGATGCTAGGTTTACGGTTTAGGGCTTAGGGCTTAGGGTTTAGGGAGTTTAGGGTTTTAGGGTTTAGGGTTTCAGCACCAGTGCCGCAGGCAACCTGGATGGCGGCCGGTGGATCTGCGCCGGAGTTCTTCACGTCCATCGTTGGCGCTACAATTGCGCTTTGGCATATCTTCATCCATGATACCCTGCAGTGGGCTCCGATTCTTCATGTGAAGCTTGGAGAAATAGTAGAACACACCGAGATGGGGGGGCCGCTGATAAGATACCATGCGAGCTGAGGCGCAGAATGATGTTGGTTTTGGCACCATTGTTGGGTCTGCCGTGTTCAACGTGCTCTTTGTCATCGGCTTGCTCCTAGGAAGCATTTGGGCAGGAGACTGCAAGCTTCGCGACCACCCTAAGCCTTCGTAGTATGCGGTGACAAAGTGAAACGCTCATCTCGAGCAAACACATGAACACCTATTTCCCTGGTTTCGAATCAGGGGTTGGGGATGTGGTCGCAGGGCAGGTGCTCCTACCCTGTAGGTGCGGCTACGTGGCCAAAGGAAATATCGAGCTCACGTGGTGGCCGCTCTTTCGGGACCGCTTCGATCAGTGGCGGTGTTTGAATGAAAAGCTGCGTGCGTTCGTCGGCAACCGGAATCAGCTCCTTCCAATATGACAAGTCGGTCCACATACTATGACAGAGGGTTAAGGAGTTGTGTGTCCTAGAAATGCCGCCAGCCAAGCTGCACTTGGCCTGTAGGACTGCACGTATTACATCATCTCCCTGGGCGTGTTGGCTGCCTTTACCTACAACCAGACCATTGCAGCCTGGGAGGCTGGAATCTGTGAGCATCTGTGAGCCCTTGTGCTAGAGTCGCCGAGAAGCTCGAACCGTCTTTCCGATCTTCGCACAGAAACGTGGTTTGCCTGTCCCAAGTGCGGGGCTTCGTAAGTCTGAGGCAGCCATCCTCTTCACCCTTTATATTGGTCCTCGCCTCATGGCTGGGCAGCGAACGCCTAGACCAACGGATCTGGTACACAGCAAAGTTTATTGTCAGGATGCATGCTTGTGGCAAACTTAATATCGACTGCAGGTTACGTTTCCTTCATGTTCATCAACAGGCCTTTGAACATCTGGGCGTGCCTCGCTTGAAGCTGCAAGATGCACACCCACCAGAATGGTGATCGAATTTGAATCTTCTGTGCACCTCACCCTCCCAAGGTACCAGAAAACAGGCACGCCATTGAATAAAGAGCTTCGTGAATACGTGGAGCAGATGAGCAAGTCCAAGACCAAAGTGGAACCGGAGGAAGTAGTAGTGCCCAGCACGGGCGATCCGCCAGCAAAGCCAGAAGTAGACTCCTGCCGGCACACAGACTCTTCGCTGGGAACGTGCTTGCTTTCAAGAGGAGGGACCCTTGTAAGGGACCTTACGGGGGGGAGCAGATAAGGTGTATATATAGAGGGGCTACATAGGGGAATAAGATTGAGTGTCCCATCTAGCGTCCCTTCTTATGCCCCTTATTGTGTATGCTCTCGGCCGGCATCTGCTTGTTCGGTACATCTGCTTGCTCGGCGCGCATCTGCAGACTGAGGAAGCTGACCAACCAGAGCCAGCAAAAGACAATTACATGAAGGAAGACCGGGTCGTCGAAAAGGTGTCCGCCTCAAATGTATTGCGAGTCGTGTTGGACAGGGTGCTGGCTACGCATCAGCATGCGCAAGTGAAAGTGCTTTCTTTGACCAATCCGTGGAGCTTGCTGAGCTCCTTCACGGGTGAGCTAGCTTGCTCGTAGCGTTGCATTACTGCGACCGCTTGTCGCAGGCGAAGCCTGATGAGGAGGCGACGGCGGGGGTGGGATTGGATTGCAGACTGAAGCGACCATGAGCGACCACTTTTGGTTGGTCCCGCACTGTTTCCTGTGAATTGAGGGGTGGGGAGGGGGGGGTTTTTGTTGAGGCAGCAGTGGCAGTAGCAGCTCAGTAGCACCAGCTATTCCCAGGAGAAGCAGGATCTGGAGAAGCCAGGAACGGCTGCGGATGGTGAGGACGAGGAGGATGACGACGATGATGACGAGCCGGAAGACTTCATGATGGTGCCGGAAGGTGGGGGAGCGAAAAGCCAGCGAAAGTGTTTCATCAGCTCTCTTCTGTTTTTTAGGCGCAGAGTACAAACACCAAGACCTTACTTTCAACCTCCGAAGCTGAGGAACATGCAACAGAATACTCTGGGGCCTTGGCCTTCCGGTTTACGTGCTTCTGTACTTCACGTTGTCGGAGCCCCAGCAATCGCATAACACCACGTGACGCGGCATCGTGGCAGATTGGTGTAGTGGCAGAGAGCAACAACCTCCGAGGCCTTGGCCTTCCAAAGGCTCGAAGCTTTTCATGCTCACCTTCGGCTTGTCTTTGATTTGGATTGGAGCCTTTGCCTTCCTGCTGGTCTGGTGGACAGACACCGCCGCTCGGACTACCAGTGACCCCCAGAGCCGAGATTTTTCTTGGTAGATGGAAGAAACTTGGCACTCGCAGAATGCCTTGCGCAGTCAGAGTGGCCTCAAGCTGAGGTGACGACGGTTCTCGGAGCATCCTCCTCAGAGCTCTCAATGTTCCCATCACTCCGTGTCAGCTTTTGATCACCTGATGACTTGTCCACTGCAGATACCCACCATCGTGTCGAGCGTCACCTTCTTGGCTGCCGCAACTTCTATCCCGGATGCTGTTAGCTCCATGGCCGTGGCCCGGAAAGGATGCGATCGGAAAGTAACCGCCTAGTAGGTCGAGCACCTTCGTGTCTAAGGCCAGCTCCAGCCAAGTTTCCTTTGACAAACCCGCAGGACAGGCGGACATGGCAGTCAGCTCATCCGTTGGTTCCAATATTTTCGACATCTTAGCATCTTGTCTGAAGTTGCATGCAGCACCAGAATACACCACGTACCATGCTACGCAACACTAGCCATTGACATCCTCGAGATGTCTTGCAGCAGAGGTTGGTTTGCCCATTCCTTGGCTTATCAAGTGCGCGCTGGAAGCAAACAATCCTGAATTCAAGGGTGTCAGCATCCAGTCGCCGTATTTGATGTTTTACACTTGCGTCCTCCTTGGGATGGTGTTTGGCACTGTCCTCAGCATCAAGATCTGTGGCTGGAAGCTGACAAAAGCATTGGGTGGCTGCATGGCGGTCCTGTATTTTGCTTTTATCATCACTACAGTGGTGGTGGAGCTGACGCGACCAGTGTGGCTAATGACGAACCCACCGACGTAGGCAAGGGCTTCGAACTCCTCTCACTTTCCAGACGAGTGGGGACGTCTACGCCCGATGATTTGTCGTCAAAGTCGGGTCATGGCACCAGGCAGGTGCAGCAGAGCTTTCTCTGCTTTCTGCGTTGTACGCAGTGCTGACGAGAGCAGGCAAGAAGTCAACATGCTTCACTGATGAGGAGCACAAAGCTTCCTCCAATTAACTGTTTCAGGCTCAGTATGCCAACGAATCCGAACCTATTGTTGCAGCGATGCTGCTGAAAATGGCCTGCATGTTGCATTCGCTTAATATGTTCATATCGAACTGTTTCACCTTTCCCATTCCATGGAGTAGATGTCTCACCAACCTCCGTCAACGCTTCGACCGCGCCCTCTGCAACGGAGACTATGGGTGGACGTTGAGCTGGCGTTCGGGTTGCAAAAAGCGTCGGCGGTCGAAGCTGTTTGGTTTCAATCTGTGAGAGTCAGCTTCGCAGCTTCTTTTTGCGCATTCGGCGAAGTTTGCTTTACTCATATATCTTGCCAACATGTGCCAACCATACCCATGGCTTTGAATATCGCCTCAGTCAAAAGGTTAGACATGAAGATACACAAATGGGGACGATATGTGCTCCAATCGTCTCCCAAGCGTGGTTCTCTTAGGAGAATAATTGGGATGATCTCCATTCTTGATTGGTATGTGTCGTGTGCAATTCAATCTTCTGGGAGATCTGTGTGCTACCAACATTGCCGACAGCTGCCCACTTTGGTGTGGATCGCATGGATTCTTCGGCGTATCAAATCTTCAACAATACGATAGCCATCGGCATTCTTTCACGATCTATTCATGGAATCAGACCTGGAAAAAATTCTGGGACATCTGGCAATTGCAGGCAGATATATGTGGGTCGAGCTTTGACCATGTAGCCGAGGGCATGCTTAGGGCTGAATATGGTCGATGACACAGTGTAATGGATGGAAACTGTCCTCGGGGCCTCGGCGTGGAGTTCCACGGCTACTTGCGGTCGCAGAAAGGACCCTAAGATGGGGAATACCCCCTTCATTGATGGTAGAAGCGCCCGCCATATTTCAATAGATGGACAGCTGGGGACTATACGGAAGAGGGAATTGGCTGAATGAACGGAGAATTGGCTCTGAAATTCCTGTCAGACGGCATATATCTTTCAATTGCATCGACGACGGGGCTTCTTTTCCTAATAGTCTACTAGTCTATTTCACTTGCGTATGTTGTATATTGACCATGGATGTTTATTTCAAGGTTTCTGCCTGCGTGAACTTTCGGAGATTCTTGTCTAGAGAATCTCGGAAATACGTCACGATGACATTTTGTGATCAGAGGACGTATATCAAGAAGTTGATGATCTTGATGTCACCATGATGTCTTTTCATTTCGTTAGGCGAAATAGGCTAACATGAAGATGTTGGTTCTTGACATTCGATTCAGGTATGTATGATCGGATGCCATAAAATTGAGACTAGACACACCCGTGACTGTCCATACTTCGTCTAGTTGCGCTTATGGTCGCCGCGCAAGCTACCTGCTCGTGCCTCGCCGGGATCCAAGTCCAGCAAAGGACTCGAAGTCAGCAATCTTTTGGGCAAGGTAGGAGCTTTTGTTTATCAGCCATGATACCAGTGAACATTGGATCTCTGCTGTTGTTATAGTTGTGATGCAGTGTCCCTGCTGTGAGTCGACTCACGGCCTGTGAGGGTCGGTGCATTCTCCCGAGGACAGAGCTCTTCATCCTCAGGAGCCTGTGTCTCAAGACATGGAGGAGGCTGCATTCTGCAATTCCGCAATGTGTGTTGAAGCCCGTGAGTGCTCGAGCTCTTTGGCCTGGCCGCATGCGCCAGCGCACTCTGTTTTCAGTGTGTATTAGGACGAGACTCCAGCTAGACATTCGGATCACAGGGGCATCGCCTTTGTTTTGCTAGTCTGGGAGATTATGTGGTCGGCGCCCGAGGAAGACACCACATATTGAAAAAGTTGACGACGTCCATCAGATCATCACCCCTCGGGCTTGACCGTTGCAGATTCCAAGAAGAGTGCGTTGTTACCACGACACAGTTTGGGTGCACACTGACAAGCTTTACAACTGCAGCAACAAGGTTTTTTCTTACACTGACAAGGGTTTAGGGTCATCCCTGCCAGTATGTATGTCTGCCTCAACCCTACACCCTAAACTCTGGGGCTGGGGGGTTACACAGGAAATGTGGGGGAATCAGCGTGGTGTTTTCGGGGGCTTGAAAACTGATTCCCCCGCACGGGGGGGGGGGGGGGGGGGGGGGGCGGGGGGGGGGGGGGGGGGGTTGGGGGCGGGGGGGGGGCGGTTGGGGGGGCGGGGGGGGGCGGGTTGGGGGGGAACACAGAAAATGTGGGGGAATCTCCGTTTTGGTGTGTTTGGGCCTTGAAAATGCCAAAACGGTGATTCCCCTCCCGATTGGGGGGTACACAGAAAATGTGAGGGAATCACTGTTTTGGTGTTTTCGGGCTTGAAAACGCCAAAACGGTGATTCCCCCGCACGGGGCTGGGGGGGCGGGGGTGGGGCACACAGAAAATGCGGGGGGGGGGGGGGGGGGTGCAAGGCTTAAATAGGGTTTATTTGGAAGCTGAGAGTCGTGTTTTTGTGTGGTAGATACAAAGGAAAGGGCATAAATTTGAAAAAAAAAAACATTCTTGCTCTTCCTCTCCTCTTCAGGAATTCCCCTTTCCCTTATGTTGCTTTTTGAAGCGAATAAGAAAAATAGCAGATAAGAAGAGAGGAAAGGGAATGACTAAGTAAAATGAGGAGTTCTTCAATTTCCCTCCCTATCTCTTATGTTACTTTTCCTTCTTGTGGGGTGTCCCTTTTCCTCCCTTGAAGATGCAGAAAACGATTGAAAAGGACACCCGTCCCATCGCCCATATGTAGGGAGAGAGAGAATCATGAGCATCAGCTGGGTTTGCTGCCAATCCAAAATGGGCGTCCCTTTTAATCGTTTTCTGTGTCTTCAATCGAGCAAAAGGGGCACCCTCAGTGTTTTCTTTTGGGTGTCCTTTTTTCTCACTTGAAGATGCAGAAAACGATCCAAAAGGACACCCGTTGGAGGAAGAGAGAAGGAGAAGGGAAACCACACTCCTGTTGCCTTAGTCTAGGAGTCCTCGAAAACCGGGGTTCTCCGTTCAAACAGACCTCGGACTTCGCGCGCCCCTTGGGGCAGCCTTCCCTCCGGCGGGGGCTCTGCGTGCAGGAGAGAGAGAGAGAGGAGATACAATGGATTGCTTTTTCAATGGGAAGAGCAAAGAAAAGAATAGAAGAGAGATGAATGGAGAAGAGGGAGAGACAAAACAAGGCGCTCTGTCTTTTCGAAATGAGAAAAACAAAAAGGAAGAACTATGAGAAGGAGAAGGGTAAGGAAAGGAACAGAAGAGATAGGCCGAGAGGAGGAATATGATGGAGTATTATGGAAAGGTCCACGCGCAAGGAGTCACCCTCTGCTTACCCTTCCACTGCTTTATCATATGAGTTCCTTTCTTGTGTTTTATCACTTAAAAGGAAGCAGAAGAAGAGAAGGGAAAGGGAAGTGAAAGAGGAGAGATAACAAGGATGCTATGTTTCTGGAAGCGTGCTGCAAGGAATAGAAGAGACAGGAAGCAAGGAGACGGAATCACAAAATAAGGCGTATCATCTCTCCCTTGTCTCTCCCTATTCGCTTTCGAATTAGAAAAAGAACCATTCTTGCTCTTCACAGATAGGTTCCCTCTCTCCTCTTCAGGAATTCCCCTTTCCCTTATGTTGCTTTTTGAACCGAATAAGAAAAATAGCAGATAAGAAGAGAGGAAAGGAATGACTAAGTAAAATGAGGAGTTCTTCAATTTCCCTCCCTATCTCTTATGTTACTTGTCCTTCTTGTGGGGTGTCCCTTTTCCTCCCTTGAAGATGCAGAAAACGATTGAAAAGGACACCCGTTCCATCGCCCATATGTAGGGGGAGAGAATCATGAGCATCAGTGGGTTTGCTGCTAATCCAAAAATGGGCGTCCCTTTTAATCGCTTTCAATCGAGCAAAAGGGGCACCCTCAGTGTTTTCTTTTGGGTGTCCTTTTTTCTCACTTGAAGATGCAGAAAACGATCCAAAAGGACACCCGTTGGAGGAAGAGAGAAGGAGAGAGGAGAGATACAATGGATTGCGTTTTAAATGGGAAGAGCAAAGAAAAGAATAGAAGAGAGATGAATGGAGAAGAGGGAGAGACAAAACAAGGCGCGAGAGGAGGAATATGATGGAGTATTATGGAAAGGTCCACGCGCAAGGAGTCACCCTCTGCTTACCCTTCCACTGCTTTATCATATGAGTTCCTTTCTTGTGTTTTATCAGTTAAAGGAAGCAGAAGAAGAGAAGGGGAAGGGAGGTGAGAGAGGAGAGATAACAAGGATGCTATGTTTCTGGAAGCGTGCTGCAAGGAATAGAAGAGACAGGAAGCAAGGAGACGGAATCACAAAATAAGGCGCAAAGCTGTACATATCATCTCTCCCTTGTCTCTCCCTTTTCCCTCTCGAATTAGAAAAAACCATTCTTGCTCTTCACAGATAGGTTCCCTCTCTCCTCTTCAGGAATTCCCCTTTCCCTTATGTTGCTTTTTGAACCGAATAAGAAAAATAGCAGATAAGAAGAGAGGAAAGGGAATGACTAAGTAAAATGAGGAGTTCTTCAATTTCCCTCCCTATCTCTTATGTTACTTTTCCTTCTTGTGGGGTGTCCCTTTTCCTCCCTTGAAGATGCAGAAAACGATTGAAAAGGACACCCGTCCCATCGCCCATATGTAGGGGGAGAGAATCATGAGCATCAGTGGGTTTGCTGCCAATCCAAAATGGGCGTCCCTTTTAATCGCTTTCTGTGTCTTCAAACGAGCAAAAGGGACACCCTCAGTGTTTTCTTTTGGGTGTCCGTTTGTCTCGCTTGAAGATGCAGGGGCCCGATTTGGCCAAATTTTGCCGGGCAAAATTTGGCCAAATCGAGCCGCGC